CCCCTATATGAAGGACTCTGCCCACTCCACGCTTAGGCTTGACAAAGGAGGTGAACCTCTGAAACGCGTTGCCTAGCAACGCCTGACAACCTGTAAGTACTCCAGTGCCTGTGATCTCGCCTTGAGGAGAGCCAGCTACAGCAGTGCTCAGCCCCTGGATCAGATCTGTGTTTACCAGCACAGATGTTCTGGGATCTTCTTGGAATTGGCTCTACTCTCTCCATGTGCCATCAATCCTGAAAACACTCTTGGAGCAGCGGCTGCGATCGGACTTTACTTTTTAACCTTTATTAACCTCCCTGGCGGTTTCTTTTTTTTTTTATTTAAATGTTTTTCATGTCATTTTTCAGTCTTTTTTTTTCGAATATGCCACCGGTTCCGCCCCACTGCGACACGTACGCTTGCAAAGGACGGAAGCCGGCATCGGCCGCAGAACACAGAGCGGCTCGAGGGACAAGGTAAGTAAATGCAATGCGGCATTCCCGAGTGTAGCTCGGGGTTACCGCTTATGGTATGGAAAAATAACCCCGAGCTACACTCGGGAATACCGCCAGGGAGGTTAAACAGTCATTTTTATTCTGCACTTAGATCTGTGCGCCGGGTTTTAGGTTTTGTTCACAGTGCTGTTTCACAGATGTTTCCCTATCCAGATCAGTGCACACATCTTCTCTGGATTAATCACCAGGATAACTGGAGTTCCTTTAACACTATTAATATACAGTCCATAAACAATCGTTTAAGTTGCGCAAGTTGGTGACTTCTGGTTTTTGTAGAAAATATATCATGTTTAGGAGTTTCAAGTCATTTTAAATGTCTGTAAATGACACTAAAATGTAGATTATAACGTGCAAAAAAGGCCGTGGGTTAATAAAGGGGAATTTCAATGTGGCAATACAATGTGAGAACTGCTTTCTTCATAATCTGTAATTTTTAAGCAAGTCAAACTGTGAGAAGTTAGACAAGTAAACTGCGTTAGAGTAGATTTAAACCCACAAACAAAAAATATAATATATTCAGAGGTGCGGGATTCCTATTGCTTGCTGCAGTTCTGGGTGCCGGGCACTTAGATCTGCTGCAGGCAATCAGGGCTAAATGTAGAGCAGGGGAAGCGCCGCTCATTTTGTACAATTGATCTGGGCGGATGTACAGCTTGTTAGCCCCTGTGTGTGTGACAGCAATAAATTAGAAGATAGTAAAATAAACTTAAACATATGAAAAGTGATAAAGTAAAAAATAAAAAATTTAAAAAAGTGGTAAAAGGAAAAAAAAAATGTAAACCAACCCGGCTGCATGCAAAGAAACACACACATAGGGCAGTGTGTGTGTAATAACACTAAAGATAGCGCAAGAAGGTATTTATGACTCTAAAGTGGGTCTAGCTGGAGACACTCACCTACCTGTAGCAATGTATCCACACTCCCTCACCACCACCTCCCTGCTGGCAGTGTCTACTCTAAATAAACTTGAGCTTAACCATGAATGATGTCACTGCACACCGCTGAAGGACCTGCCAAAGGGGAAGCATTGGGGGCCAGGAAGCAAAGTCAAAAGGAGCTTAGCTGTAAAAGGTGATGGTGCCCTGCGTAGGCAAATCTCAATGCCCCAGCTCTCCCTGCCCGAAAGGAGCACCCCAAATGCAGAAGTCCAAAGAGGAAGAGTAATATCAACAAAGCATGGACGTTGTTGATATTACTCTTTATTACTCAAAGATTTTTGGGGGGAACCATATGCACTTTACTTTTATTTAAATGTTTAACTGGGGTTTCCTCAACATTCCTGCCAGACCTAAAAGGGTCTGGTATGAGGACCCCCCCCCGCCCCCCTTTGTTTTTTTTAACCTCTGAGGTAGTGAGCAGAATAACGGAGCCGAATGCTGCCTTCGGCAGCTTAGTGAATAACCCCCCCCCAAATATGTGAGAGCTAATGGTAGGGTCAGAATGAACCTTGCCCACTGATCTTGGGCTAGGCAAGCGATGAGTAGTGGAAAGCCTCCCACAAGCCAAGTTAGTATATTCTACATTCATGTTCCTTGCGCCCAATGACCTTACATTTGTCTGGATTAAAATTCATCTGCCATGTCGCTGCCCCTTCCACTTTATAAAGCACTTGCTGTAGTGATAAAATCTCATGTGGTAAACTTCCCTACATAACTTCATATCGCCTGAAAACAGAGCGTGCTATTTATTCCCACCTCTAGATTATTTAAAAATAGAAGAAACAGAATCACCCCCAATACTGAACCCAGCGGCACACCATTCACCACTTGGTCCAATTTGAGAATGATCAATTTATCACTATCCTTTGGATTTGGTCCTGCAACCAGCTTCCTAACCATGTGCATAGTTTCCTTGACGCTAACTGACCTTAGGTTGTAGATTAATACACTACCTCGGAAGCGGTTAAACTATCTGCAAAGTCCACCTTATAACGCACCTCCTCACAGAACAGTGGTTCTCAACCTGTGTAACCTCAGGACCCACATTTGTCCGTGGTCACCAAGTTCTGACCCAAGTCGCACTGCACTGGAATGCTTGGCATTGCGGTACCACGCGTTCCAGTGCAGGCGATTGAACTGTGAGTGGAGGGTGCCATTCAAGCGGATGGCAACACAGTAGGTGCAATTGTGTGGTACAGAGCATGAATTGCATGGGACTGTGTGATTTACACACTATACTAGTATGAATGGGCCCTCAAAACAAAAACACAACCACAGACACAATCTCTCACACATTCCAAAAAGTTTTTTTTTTTGGTTTGTTACGAACAGGTGGATCGTAACAAACCAAAAAAACACTTTTTGGAATGTGAGAGATTGCCTGCCTACCTAGTGAGAATTGGAGTGGATCCTCAGCCTGGGGTCCAGTGTGGGCTGCTGTGCTGTGACGGAGCTCCATCCATATGTGCATTGTTGGTATAGCTCCCTTGTGTGTCCTGTAGAGATGCCAGGAGCCAGAAAAGTGATGTCACTCCAGTCCTGGCACACGATGGAGCTGTAAGAAACGCACGTATGGATGGAGCTCCCTCATATCCATACAGCCCACCCCACCTCAAGCTGCCATTCAGCGCCTGACATCATGTTGAATGGCTGCTCGATGCGAGAACTGACAGTGCTGTGCTAGAGGGAGGCTCTCACCTAGCGCAGTGGAAGGTATGTGGCGACCCACCAGTTGAGAACCGCAGTAATAGACGGTCAATAGATTTGTCTGACAGAAATGGCCCTTCATAAATCCATGCTGCGTAGTACTGTTCTCACATGCAACTTTGTGTATATGCTCCCTGACCATTTCCCTCAAACACTTCACATATTAGGGAGGTAAGGCTGACCGACCTCTAGTTGCCTGGTATACATCGCAAACCTTTTCAGTATATTGGCACCACATTTGCTTTCCTCCAATCATCTGGCAGCTCTCCTGTCCTTAAAGATGATTTAGTACTCGCAATACTTTTATGTTACAAAGGTTTGCAATACACTGCTTACTGTAGTTCTTTCTTCCTCACCATTGTGAACATTTGTAGAATTGTCCCTCCCTCCTTCCCCAGTACTATTGTCCATCTCCCATGCCATCACCATCCCCTTAGACACTCTGGGCATCCCATCATCATTTGTCACCGTTGCATTGCAATTTCCAGTGATTTATTCCACCACATTCCTTTCTCATTCCATACTTTGTGTCTGTCCAAATTTGGATTGACCATCCATTGGCCTGGGTCTCATTGTGGCACTAGCCCCACATTACCCGTATGTGGCCAACAAAAAGGTTTTAATCTCCCAACAACACAAATATATGCTTATTTTTATATGTATATTTATACTGTTTACCATTTACATTGTTTTATCAATTTTATGCTTATAACTTATTCTTCTATGTTTTTATTCTTATATTATTATTTTGGATGTTGGTCTATATATCCATGTGGTGGTTGACAGCTATCCAGTTCACCTTCCTCCTATCCCCTGCAAGGGACCGTGTTCCCATACTGATCCCTGCACTTAGTAGTTGCTGTTTGCTGACACTCTGCCGTATTTGAATGCAAGAACTGCTCCGGTTTTCTGGCACTGTGATAGGTCGAGTGGCGGCGACACCCCCAGGGTCGCCATTGGCTGGCCGCATTATCCCGCCCTCACATGGTTCCTCAGACTGATAGCAGACATGGCTACATTTACATATGATGATGAGCCTTTAGGACACGGCTCCTATTGGTCATCTGTACTTTATAGGGGGAAGGTGACGTTACGTTCTGATGAAGGGGGCATGCCCTAGAAACGCACGTTAACGTCACCAGCATACAGGAATCATCCAGTGGATACACACTGCCTGTCAGCTTATGATTCTTCTTACGTTTGTGAGTACGTTTTTTGTTCTTATCTCATGCTTACTGAAATAAAATTGACCTGCACCAGGAAAGGCGCCCCCTTGTGTTTACTCCACAGATCTACAGCTTTCCCGGCTTTCTTTTGGGGCAGCATCTTGCAGTGTGCCTAGGAGGAATTCTCATTGAGAAGTGACAAGTTTGTGGCGCTTCACTGCTTTTTATTGTAGTAAATAAAAACGGTTAATGTGAATCTCTGAATGTTTCAATCAGAAATCAATGAACGTTGCCTTCCTGACATATTGTACATTCTATTACATTTCTGTTGGAGGTGGCAGCCAGTAAGAAAGACATTTTTCAAAGATCAGAAATACAACATATGCTGTGAACAGTGTGTGTGAGTGTGAGAGTGTGAGAGTGTGAGAGTGTGAGAGTGTGAGAGTGTGAGAGTGTGAGAGTGTGAGAGTGTGAGAGTGTGAGAGTGTGAGAGTGTGAGAGTGTGAGAGTGTGAGGTTAACTGCTTGGTTAACCTGCCCCAATAATAAACAGGGTCTGCTGGTGCTTAGACTGTTATCCTGTGAGCTGAAAAATCTCTATGCAGGGTGAGCTTGAGAGCATAATCACCACAATGATCAGTTATACACAATGAATGTATTTAAACAAGCTTTTTTAGCACAACAAAAAACAAAATTTGACAAACAATTTTGAAAATGAGAATAATTAGGAAACCTATACAAGTGAATTGCCATAAAAAAAAAAAAATATAATAATACACTTTGGACATAGTTCAGGGAAGTTGTTCTTGCTGCTCGTCCATCTGCACTAAGAAGTCAGATTATAAAAGGCTCCGTGTAAAAGCAGCAGAGATGGAAATAAAACCCTTCAGAAGAGTCGAAGGCCAGCTTTGATTTGATTCAATTCATTCTGAGTCCAGAACATATTGTCAGATGATCGGATATTCTGGGTGCTGCAAATATAAATGGCCATTAAACAGATTTCGTCAACTGAGCAAAAAATAAATAAAAACTCTACATATAACGTGACGTTGTTGAGATTCTGCACCAAACAAGAGAACCTTCTATATTGTAGCAATGGGATAAGGAGACACTAAACTCAGGAGTTAAATCTTAAAAATACTATTAACTAGGGATGCACTGATAGCGGTTTTTCGGTACCGAGTACTGATGTTTTTTTGTTCTGTACTCGCCGAAGCAGAGTATTGATAACGGTGCAGTGTGCCCCGATTATCAGGAAGTCAGCTGATCATGACCCCCTGCCTTCCTGATTGCCTGGGAAGCTGCTGTTCTATCAAAAGAACACTGGCTTTACATGCCGCGGCTGCCTGGCTTCCTCACCAATCAGGAAGCCTGGTGGAGGGTTATGAGGTGCCATCCGGCTTCCTGATTGGTCAGGAAGCCAGGCTGCGTAGCAACAAGTGGAGCCAGCTTACTAGCAATCAGGAAGTCGAGCCGCATGTCATGACCCGCCTCGCGGCTTCCTGACTTCCGAGGCAGCCTGGCTTCCTGACCACAAGTGAAGCCAGCTTCCAAGCTAATCGAGAAGCCGGGAGGCGAGTCATTACGCGCCGCCCAGCTTCCGATTGGAAATGAAGCAGTCTTCATGCTCCTTGGCACTGCCATTCAGAGAGATGTTCCTCTGACCAAAAGTTCCAGTAGCTGAGGCAAGTATCTACACATTTGGGAGAGTACGAGTACTCGGTATCGGCACTGATAATAGTAGGTATATCCCTATATTAGTAACAAAAATGTATCTTATTTGTGCATCACTCAGCTGTAGATCAATAATCTGTGAATTCATGCAGACACTGTCCTTCCATCTGGAGGGTGGCTACTTTTTTCCCCATGGTCCTTTTCGCTTTGAAAATAAAAAGGGTCAAAAGGGCATAGATGCCTTATCTCAGGTTTAGGATTTCAGTCTGGCTTATGCTTTTCCCCCTCAGGTTCTTCTGAAACAAAAATCAGTCAGCATGCAGACTCATTTTGGTGCCCCAAGACGTCTTGGTTTACAAAGCTTCAGAAAAGATTGCTATGGCCTCCTTGGATCCTTTCTCTCAGGCCAGTGCTACATCTCAACCAGGATTCTTTCAATTGACAGCTTGGTTGTTGAGAGGAAGATCCTAGAGGGATGTTCCCAGAAAGTTATTAATACTTTTCCATTCAAGAGAAAGCTGGTAACCAGGAAAATTTATCGTAAGGTTTGGAAGGTGTTTTCACTGTGGTGTCAAAAAACACAAGTATTGTTTTCCCTTCCCTAGTTTGGATTTCTTGTAAGATGGAATAGAGAAACTGTTCGAGTTCAGGTTTCAGCTATTTTCAGTTTTCCTAAATGGCAAACATGTTGAGGATCCCCTAGTTAAACGTTTGCTTTTGGCTACAGAACGAATTAAGCCCTTGCAGGCTAGGGCATTTCCTCCTTGGGATTGCTCGAAGGTATTGGGTGGCTTGTCTAAGCCTCCTTTTGAGCCCACTGATGTAGTATTAGTTAAATCGTTGTCCTTAAAGATGGCCTTTTTGTTAGGAATCACTTCAGGCCCAATCCATTAAGGATCCAGGTCTTACCATTTTGCCACATAGGGTTATTCTCAGGCATATGTATTCACCCAGGGTGGTTTCTAGTTTTCACAGGTTCCCAGGAGAATATCTTGCCATCTTTTTGTGGCAATCCTAAAAATCCTACAGAGGAGGTTTTTCATTGTCTGGATTTGAGACGCTACTCCTAAGGTACTTGGAGGTCACCAGAACATTTAGAAGGTCTAGCCATTTCTTTGTGCTTTTCTTCAAGCCCTAGAAGACAGTAGCAAGCTTCTAGCGCCTCGATAGCAAGATGGATCAGACCATTTCTTATGTGTATAAAAAGAGGAAGGTCTTAGTACTCCAGTGCTAATTAAGTTGCTTTCTACCAGGTCTTTAGCAACTTCCTGGCCAGAGAAGGCTGGTGCTTCAGTGGCATAGATCTGCAGTTTGGTTGAATCAGGACACCTTCGTTAGACATTATAGAGCGGAAGTCCTGATGCAGCAGGACCTAGCCTTTGGCCAGAAAGGTTCTGCAGGCAGTGGTCCCACCCTGGAAGGTAGGCTTGGTTGTTTCTTGCTTATTCTCTCAGGTTGCTATCCTGGAAAATGATTGGGGAAATTCCCATTTAGACTCTACAGCAGGGGTAACCAAACTCCGGCCCTCCAGCTGTGGGGAAACTACAAATTCCATGATGCATCTCTCTGTGGGAGTCATGCCTGTGGCTGTGAGAATCTTGCAATGCCTCATGGGATTTGTAGTTCCACCACAGCTGGAGGGCCAGAGTTTGGTTACCCCTGCTCTACAGTAATGGTATTTCTGGGACTCTTTAAGGACAGTAAGCCTACTTCCCACCCTTGGCTATTTTTTTATATTCTATTTTCTAATAGTGTTTCCTGTAGAAAGAGGAACCAGTCATCTCTCAGGTAAGTAACACGGAATTTCTAAAGCTTTTTTTTTTTAACTTAAAAATGTAAGCAGAATTATGGTTTTATTTTTTTAAGCGTTTTATAATTGCTTAGAAAGCTCCTACCTAACTTTCCTCCATGTAATGTTAAAGTTTACTCTAACCCGGTCTGTACTGTGCTGGCAGATTTCATTATCAATTGTAAACTAGACTGTCTGTCCTAACAAAGGGTTAAAGACTTGGAAGCATTGTATATTCATGAGAAGACGACACTCTGACCCTAAACTTTTATTTTCAAACTGCTCAGAGAACCTTGGAATCTGAGCAAAGTCCTTCACCAAAGAAATATCTAAACAATGAAGAAATATATGTCCATTTTTTTTAGCTATGCGAAAAGCAACAAATATAGTGGGGTTTTCTCAACCTTCAGTGCAAAAGTGGAACCACACTTTAAAATCTGAGTGCCTTGTATTGCTCCTTGTCCACCTTAAGCACAAGAAGAATTGTAGATGCAGCACAAGCCCCAAAATACATACTGATGGACCGGGGCTGTTGAGAACATAAAGGTGAAACTCGAATAATTAGAATATCGTGCAAAAGTAATTGCAGTAAGTGCTGCAAAAGGGGCCCAAACCAAGTACTGAGTACATATGCATGCTTGTACTTTTCAGAGGTCCGATATTGTTCTATGTACAATCCTTGTTTTATTGATTGCATGTAATAATCTACTTTTTTGAGGTTGTGGATTTGGGGTTCTTGGGGTTTTCATGAGCTGTAAGCCATAATCATCACAATTATGACAAATCACGGCTTGAACTATCTTGCTTTGCATGTAATGAGTCTATCTCATATATTAGTTTCACCTTTTAAGTTGCATTAGTGAAATAAACTTTGCACGATATTCTAATTATTAGAGTTTCACCTGTATATGCACATCAAAAAAAAAAAAAAAGTCAAGTCAGCATGTTTGCTCCTTACCCCATCAGGGTGCTCTGTCCATTCTTCCTAGCCTCAGAGTCCTGTTGTTCCAGGACAGACATCATAGAGTAGTTCTCAATCAGAAGGCAGCTGGGGTCCCGAGTCTGCCCTGGTACCAGTCCTAGAGGGTAGTCGCTCCACTTAACACATTCTGCAAAAATAAAGTAATCCATAACCACACTGCACTTCGATGAAGTTATATTTGTTGATCATCCAATGTCAAAGTGGACTAACAGTAAAACGAAAGCACAATCCCCCATTCAAAAATGTGAATACGGGTGAAACGTACCTGCTGAAACCTGGTTGTGTCCTTATATACAAGTTGTTCAACTTCCTTTCTGGCTATTAACAGAGTAGGAAAGTTGAGTAAATCTGTCGGAATGAATCTCCCAAGCCGGGTCACAGAAAACCTCAATTGTCAAAAAGTTGGATTTCCTCTAACTTCCTGTTGTGTCTCCAGCAATAAAAGTCTTCGAGGAAATAGATAAAAATGCAAGCCAAAGAATTTTGGGAGCACTAAAGAACCTTCTTCATCAAGGAAGAAAAAAAAAACACACACCATGTATTTAGCTGAAGTGCCAATTAGGGGCATTTTCAAGTTAAGGGAAGCCTCAATGGAAGTATGATACTCAGATTCTTAGACTCTTCATTGTGAAATGCAATCCATTTAGGACATTATCTACAGCAGCCAAGAAATTAAAACGTGGCAGAGGCAGAAAAAACAAAAAAAAGTTTTACAGGTCTATTCCCAAAAAGGATGAGTGTGGAGAAGGCAACAATCTAGGACAACATAGCTGATTTGGAAAAATTCTCCAATTCAGCTCACTTTCCAGTTCAGCTCTGTTGTCCTAGATTGTTCCCTTCTCCTGCCTTCTCCAAACTCTTCACCCTTTTGTGAATAGACCCCACAGTGTCACTTGTGACCAACAGCGAGTATATTGCAACATTATTTCCATAAAGTGCACATTGACATGCTCAGGTAACATCTGCCCATAGTACATACACGAGATCTTTAGCTGCCCTGTGCAATTCTGATATCTTATCAGACAGCGTACCTTGAAAGGAGGCATGGGAGTACCTGCAGCCAAGCTTACAAAGAGGAGACATTCAGGTACAAAAATTGGCAGTTTTATTTTAAGGAAAGGAACTAAGTAGTGAATACCTGAGCTGACACCCCATGCAGAGCCCTCCAATGCAGCTCTCTTCTCAGATGCAGATTTAACATTGATCATCTCTATATATTCTTCCTCATATGTTTCTGTGATCATTTCCTCATCCTCCATCTGCTCATTCATATCCTCGTCATCCTCAGTCGATGATCTGTCCCAATGATTGGAAACTTTGGCCTTTGACTCTTGCTTTATTTTCCACTGAAGGCTTTCTACAGTGTATATAGGTTGGTTGCTATAGTCCAGAGATGCATCTAGATCTTCGTTCTGGGTATATATGGAGCAGAGGCATAGAAGCTTCTCCTGTGTGGTTGCAGGCAATCGAGGCTTCATGTACGAAAACATTCTGGCAGAGGGAGATAAATTGTATAAATTCAAATTAAAAAATGTTTCCCCCACTTATTTCAGGTAGAGAGCAGAATCCAACCAACCCCTCCCCAATCCATTTTCTAAAGCATCCCTGCTTCCTTAATGCAACTAAAGCCTCTGTCCACTACTGCACCATGGAAACCAATAACAGTTACACAGCAATCATGCTAGTACAAAACTTTAATGGCGCTGCGACTTCAGCGCTGAATGAGCAGACAGTCTCATATATGGAAGTTAGGTTATGTTAGGTCTGCTTTCACAGCAAGCATTCCAAATGCACTTGGTTCTAAGTGGATATCAGAGGTTTAGGAAAAAAAAGAATTACCAGAAAACATAAATAAAAAAAATCAACAACAATACACAGTAATAGTTAAACATTATACTGATTACAAGTTGTATCACTGTACATAACCAGCTCACTTACAGCCTCAGCAGCTGTGGAGTTGTCCGACATGGAAACTCCAGGCACTTCTGCATCAGCGGTTTCCATTGTAAGTATACTACTTGACTAAAAAGCTTCCATTTGCTTTTCACAGATGCCTGGGTGCGGGAAAGAAATGAGGTTTTTCCATCTAAAAAAATCAAATTAAAAAAAAATCAAATCAGTCAATTGTTATATATGATCCCTATATCTTCATAAAATTGTTAGGGGGAGAAATAACCATCACTTTCAATAGTAACGCTTACACCAGCACTCTTACCCACTTAGTTTTTTTTTTTCTGCCTTTCTCCTCTATCCTTTATACTTACTAAAAGAATTTATATTTTGAATTTTCACGTATTTAATTTTTTACATATTGACAAAAAATTGTGACCATCTTCTTATAGTGATAGCCCTGTAGTGCCAACTATCGTATCCCTATAATTATTCTTTCCATTTTTTTTTTTTATTCCTCTACTGTTTAAAGAGCTTACGTTTAAGGCCAACCAACACTACAATGCTCCCCAAGTGTACCCCAACGTGTTTTATCGCTAACCATGTGGCTTCATCAGGGGGATAAACTCTATGGAGGTGCTCTGTGCAAGTGCTAAGGTAAAGTGCCGTTTCTTACTCATTTCGGCTCCTATTTATAGTCTTCAGCGCTACGTCATGAAGCACACCATGCGATAACATCAAATTATGTTATCACGCACAATACCTCCGGTATTTCACTACTGCAGTTAGTCTGTCACTCCTCGCACGCCCCATTTAACTCATTCCCAGTATCATTTAGGGGTTAAAAATTAATAGTTCAAACATCGATGTTATCCTTATTTATTTCAATCACCATGATATGTACAAAATTCCCAATTCTTTCATTCTGCCTCAAATCAATTTCATGTTAATCCTTTCTCATCAATGTTTTCAAATTCCGCCTTCTTTTAAATTCTGTTTATTTTTATAAGAGGTATTTCATTCTTTAAATTTCCTAATATATTTAGAACAGAAGGAAGAAAATATTAACTTTTTTTCCCCCCTCATTCCTGTTCTTCCACTTTCCCTATTGTTTAATTGGCTCTCTTACTTTCACTTATATCTTTTCTTACTTCCTCCCCCACTGCAAGGGTTAAGAAAAAAGGTTTTCCTGGAGTACACAAATAAATTTTTTTGTATTGTTTAGTGATTGAAAAGGCTACAAAAAGAGAAAAAGAAAAAAAAAAACTAGTGAAATAGGAAGAAAGAAAAAAGGGGAAGTGGAAGACAGAGTAATAAAAGAAAAAAGGAAACTGAAATTATATTTTTATCATTTCCTTTTTCCCCTCGCTTTCCTGATCTTCCACTTGCCCTTTACTTGGCATATCACATTTTGCTTATACTTCCTTACTCTTATTTTACCTCTTTTTATCACCATTAAAAAAAAAAAAAAAAAAAAGTGAAGTATAAGGACAGGAAAAATAAAAAAAGGAAATACATTTATATACCTATTTTTTTTATCAGTTATGGCTCAGGAAAGATACCGAAGCAGATCAAACATTCAATATTCTATTGATTGCTGCAGAAAAAAATACCTAACACTTTACATACCTGCCCCTGCTTTGTGGTTGGCAGTCAAGATTTCTGAGATCCAGCAGCTCAGATAGTGGACTTTGGCATGTGCGTTGTTCTCCTTGCACCTTCCCAACTCCGAAAACATTTTTTCCAACAGCTCCTGAGTGAAAACATGGCAGTGCATAGCCTTGAGCAGTGGCTGCCAAAACCTGAGTAGTATGCGAGGCAGGCATAGATTTTCATCTTGATCTGAAATGGTTAGTTTAGCAATGCAATATGTTAAATTGATAAAAAGGCACCGAAATCTGAAAGCAGAATTCCAGACTCCCCCCCCCCCTGTGTC